CGTTGTCCGACGGCTAATGACAGCCAGCAGCCACTCCTTTTCTCGACGGGACGGCATCTGGACCTCGTCACGTGCGAAAACCGCGCGTTTCCCAAGCATTCGTAAACATTCGCCGGCAAATTATGATGTATCGTTGGGCGAAACGTGAGCCTGCCGCACAGACAATCGATGGACCGATGGCTAACACATGCGGGCCTTCCGAAAACTCTTTCAATTCAGGCTGAATTATCGCCTTGCGGAACGAGAATCGTCGCGTGCACATGCTGCGCACAGAATTTGGAATCCGGTGTCTTCGACCATTGTGTCATTCGTTCTGGTTTGCTCGACCTTTTGGTCAACGTCGATTAGCAGCTTTTTCGTTTGGTTGTCTTCGACATTTGTCGGTGGTTTGACGATAATGAAGTATGGTGTATCTTGGTCAGGGTTGACAAATTTCTTAGAAAATTAGCAGTGTTTTTTTTTTGTTTATTTTTAACAATGTTGCATGTTGATTGGTTCGAAAGGTTTAACACCCGAGGAAAAATTGTTATCGAGGACGTTGTATTTGACGTTAACGCAATTTCCTCTGTTGTTGGCAATCGTCGTCTTGAAATTGTGCAACAGGAAACGCTGTAATTCCGAAGGATCGTGTTACGAATGAGCATCGATAGCGGTGTAATTGACTTGTTGTTGACTGTTTGTGTCATCCTGACCTTCTGCTTAATTCATGGAATTGAGAAACGTGCGATTTTTTGGCTGAACATTCTTCTCGAAACATCGAACGAAGTTGTTAATGTTTGTGCTTTCTTCAAATTCTTCGAACGAAATTACAGCGGAAATGAAAGATAAACGCTGCTTTGGATGGGTCAATCTTCACGACTGTTCCCAATAAACTTTAATTATTTGAAATAATTAATACCACGAGATATAGCATTATTTTTAATAAATCCCAGGTCCCACGTGAAATACGCATAAAATGCACCTATTTATACGCACCATATCAGAACATGTTCTGATTTCCAATATTCATAAGAAACAACATAACAACAGTGACTTCTTCGCGGTACAAAATTGATAGAATTGAACAATGCAGTCGTCCCGGAAGAAATTTCAAATTCTTATCACAAGAATATAACAGCAATCACTGTTTCCCAATCGCAACATGTGATTGATAGAATTGAATAATGTAAATCGATCTAGTACAAGTAAAAGTTCGTCCAGTTGATGTAATATTGACGTCCTGATTTCCAATATTCATAAAAAACAACACAATTACAGTGACTTCTTCGCGGTAGAAAATTGATAGAATTGAACAATGCAGTCGTCCCGGAAGAAATTCAAATTCTTATTACAAGAATGTAGCAACTACTACTGATCGCAATCTCAACATGTGATTGATAGAATTGAATAACGTAAATTGATCTAGTACAAGTAAAATTTCGTCCCGTTGACGTAACATCAACGTAAACAGGAGGCAGAGTAGGACCACGATCCATTTTCCAGCAACTTGTTGGCTATTGTCGTCCCATCGAGGACCAATAAATCTACGGCGGAGGACCCCGACGCGGTCGTTCGACGCAAGGTCGCGCGATCAAAGGGGTGGCCAGTAGTTTATGGGCCAAACGAAGCCAAAACAGGCACCGTGTTCTGTTTCCATTTATCTCGAGGCCATTGCTCTGTCGTCGGCTCGGTTATCCGTGGAAAGTCGCGGGCCGATTCGGTCGCGGGACACGTCGGAAGATTAAGTGTTCGGCAGGAAGGTTAACCAGTCGTTGGCCAGGCGGTAACACGCGGAATCATCTGTAAATTGAGCCCAGGGCCAACGGGAGAGAGCGTCGGGACGGCCATAACTCACGGGGCCTGCACTCTGCCACTGATCCTCTCTTCGTCGTCTCTATCTACCTCTTCTCCCTTTCTCTGTCACTCTATTTCCCTCCCCCTGGCCGCGTTTTGCCTTTCAACCCTCTCTTGCCGGACCTTATCGTTACGCTGGACGACACCCCTTCGCGATGACCCGACCTTCTATGTGGAAATTTTAAGATGTAAAATATTTGGGACAGAGACGAAGTCGATTACAAGTGGATTGTGAATTTTGACGCGTTTGTGGGAAATTCAGGCGTGGAAAAGTGTGAAGAATACTCGTAGGATGTAAAAATGTACAAAATGTTCAGGGTAATATGTTTGTTATAATATCGTTAGAGGGTTGGTGTTCTCTTATCTGATGTAGTTTTTTATTATTAATTTGATTACAAAATACTGTTAAATAATTTTTATGACTCTCTTCATTGTAAGTTTTAGGTAGAATATTGTCAGAGGATTGATTTTCTTCTATCTGATGTAGTTTTTTATTATTAATTTGATTACAAGATACTGCAAAATAATTTTTATGGCACTCTCTTCATTGTAAGTCTTAGATAGAATATTGTCAGAGGATTGATTTTATCTTAGCTGGTGTAGTTTTTTATTATTAATTTGATTACAAGACACTGTTAAATAATTTTTATGACACTCTCTTCATTGTAAGTCTTAGGTAGAATATTGTCAGAGGATTGATTTTATCTTAGCTGGTGTAGTTTTTTATTATTAATTTGATTACAAGATACTACAAAATAATTTTTATGACACTCTCTTCATTGTAAGTTTTAGGTAGAATATTGTCAAAGGACTGATTTTCTTCTATCTGACGTAGTTTTTTATTATTAATTTGATTACAAGATACTGCAAAATAATTTTTATGACACTCTCTTCATTGTAAGTTAGGTTTAGAATATTGTCAGAGGATTGATTTTCTCTTATCTGATGTAGTTTTTTATTATTAATTTGATCACAAGACACTGTTAAATAATTTTTATGACACTCTCTTCATTGCAAGTTCCAGATACATTTGGCTATTTCTTCTATTTAATCAATGAATAAATATTTTGAATATTACGACGCAGAGTGAATTTGATATCTCACACTGCAACTGTCAGATAGTCGTAATAGTATTTTGCGAACGAAATGAATCTCATCTTAGGTTAGTTACATTTGAAATGAATCTCAGCTTAGGTTAGTTACATTTAGAAGAATCAAAGAAGTGGCCAGTGGTTTACGAATGAAACAGAATCAAGTAGGTTGGGTTAGTTAGGTTAGTTACATTTGAAAATTCTTTGATTAGTGATCTATTGGAAAAAAATAATGAAATAAGGTGAAGCAAGTTTGTTAGGATTTTATGATAATGACAAATAGCTGAATGGAAGAGGATTTGTTATTTCTGTAAGGGGAAAGGCTCTCTGTTTGATCCTTTCAGAGAGGCTCATTTGACTCCGCACTTTCCCGTTTCTTTCTGCCACACTTTCCCTCGTTAGTACATTTTCATTGTCTCTATGTACTTCATTGTCATGGACTTTGTAATTAGACAACAATGTTAGATCGTAAAGATGCGATGAAATGTCATAGCAATGCGTTTAAGGCTCTCAACTACCTGGAAATCTGACTAAAGAATTATATCCAGTTTCTTCTTCCATTGTTAACCGGACCACAATTTCGATTGTCGTTCGTTTAATTAGACTTTTGAAAACTCACACTTCGAATAATCGCTGCCGATGAAATAATACAAGCTTACATCTAAACAATTTAATTGTTAAACAATTATGGAACATTTGAAGGCGCAAAATATGCAATCCAAGACGAAACAGACGTCGAAGTGTATTTCTTCAATTCTGTCCATAGATTTACCGATATCATTTCAAATTCACCGAATCATAGAGAGCTTCATCACCATCATTAATCATCATTTCTCACAACTATTATACACTTGATACAAAAACTAAGCGAGCATATGCACATTCATCAAAATCCACCTCTTGCAAAAGCATCTCTTCAACCACGCCACTTGCTGTCAAATTCTTCTTCTTCTTCTTCGAAGAGATTCTTCAAAACTATCACACGACACTCGAATAAGCCACGGAAGGAGCACGTGAACACTGCGGGTATCGCGACCATATTAATTGCAAAAGGGGTGACGACGAGTAGCTTGTCTGCTTGCCACGAAGACAACATCTTCGTGGGCGCAGGAGGAAGATACCGTGTCTGATCGGCAGGGTGGCACATCCTTGGAAGGAGATAGCAAGGAGGGTAATGATAATCCAGCCTCTAGCCTAGTCGTATCCCGGGGGATGCAGGGATTAATTGACACATCGGCGTTTCGAAGCAGAGTCTTGTGGGCTGGCGCCTCCGCTTTGCTAGCCGGCGACGTGACTGATGAGACGCCTGGAACAAGCCATCGTGAAAAACACCGTTGGATCCGTGGCCTTTTTTGCTGGCCATGGATCCGCCAAGAATTACCGAGCAAACCATCATCGGTTGGCGGTTCCTTTCGCGCCCCCAGCCGAGTAACTCGTCTAATCAGACGTCGTCCACCCTCCCCATTTTCTTCGAACGTAGCCTAAAGCGTGGAAACGAACGCACGTCGATGTTACAGATTGGAATTTAATGCGAGCACGGTGACGCACACGGAAAGCAAACTAGGGTTGTCTTGAGAAGAGAACGTGCCTCAAGGAAGAGTCGTCCAGGAACAGCCGGCGAGAGGCTTCTAATTGAAATTTTCTGATGAAGATTTGCAGGCGGATGATGGCGGTTGTGATAGTTGACGATGCGATGGAGGTAGATCTTTTTTGTAAACTTAAAATGCTTGCAAGGCAGAGCAGATGTCTATTAGCAGCTGGGATTGTGGGTTTAGTGTCCAAGTTTAGTTTTTGGACTTCAGATGGAAAGCGAGGAAGGATGTTAGGTAGGATGATAGGAAATTCGAGGTTGAAAAGGGAGATTGGAATCGTCAGTTTTAATGTCTAAATCTTGAGATTAGAAAAGAAGTAAGACGTTTGGCACTGGTGCTATTGTATTGGGTTGGCAACTAAGTGATTGCGGATTTTGTCATTAGGTGGTATTGACAAATTCCGCAATCACTTAGTTGCCAAGCAATAGTTTGAGTATTTAAATCTTACACGTATTGAGTGTTAGTTTTAAATGCGATACCGAAGAGAGAAAGGGAAAGCTGCTGTGATTATCGTTTTAGAGTCTGAATTTTACGTATGAAGTCGAATAAGATGAAGGATACTTAGAACTGCGATCTTATTGTCAGTGTATTGAAATTTTAAAACAGTAGAAATTCTTTTCTTCTGTTGGGATTGATGAAGATAAAGGTGTTCATGAACAAAATTTTGTTGAAAGTTACATGCAAAATAAATATGTTAAAAAATTGTACGTAACCAGTAGACTTACAGGGAAATCAGCATCGAAACAGGTAGAAATTCTTTTCTTCTTTTGGGATCGATGAAGATAAAGGTGTTCATGAACAAAATTTTGTTGAAAGTCACATGCAAAATAAATATGTTAAAATACTGACAGTGCACTGTACGTAACTAGAGGCTTACAGGGACATCAGCATCGAAACAAGTAGAATGAAATGAAATTGCACTTCTTTTTTGAAATGATGAAGATAAAAATGTTCATCAACAAAATTTTATTGAAAATCACATACAAAATAGATATGTTAGGGACTGACAGTGCACTGTACGTAATCAGTAGACTTACAGGGAAATCAGCATCGAAATAAGAAGCACGTGAAATCGAAGGGAAGAGATATTGCCGAAAGAAGGTAGCCGAGGTTCCAGTCGATTCGGTGATAAAGGTGATTGAACGATTAGGAGTCTCGGAAAGAGGAAAGCACTGGTGAAAGAGAGAGGAGCATCTAATTTAAAGATTCATTGGCAAGTAAATCCGCGGCGAATTAAAGATAACTCTCCTAGGAAATCCCAGCCAGCAAGCTCCTTAGAAGCCACTGCGTTTGCTCGACGAAAGAGAAAAAGAAGAAAGATGAAAGGGAAGCAGAGGGGTGGTCTTAAGACTATGATATCACGTAGAACGTATTTAACCGAGGGATAAAGCACACTTTTGAAAAAGAACATTCTTCAGAATTCCTTCAATAGTTGTTGAACACATAATTAAAGAAACAAGAAGATATAGTAATTTGATTTAACTCAAAATGATGATACTCTTCGTTTCCTTGTACCAAAGAAAGGAAGAAGACTATGGTTTCTGTGAAATTCGATTTTTCTAAATTTGCAAAGATCGTGGGTGGCTGAATCGTCGAAAACAGAAGGCCAGGGTGGTTGGTTCGGTCATAAAATCGAACGATAGTTCTTCAATCCTTCGACGTAAATCCTCGTGAGCTCTTCTTATCAGCTGCTCTACAATGCTGTACAAAGTAGAATGGAAAAGTTCCAGCGACTCGTATCAGAGGGGAGATTTCTTCCGCGTTCTCGTTGCCAAACACGTCCATTTAAATTCCTGCTGTTCTAAATTAATTCACACTTCAGAATTCACTGAACTGTTTCTTCAAATATGCGACTTCAAGTAGTTTTGTCAAAATTTGTTACCAATTCAAATTGTATAAAATAGTATATGAAAATAATTTCTATGGAATTCAATGGAATCTTGCAACCTGACATTCTGATCTGATTGAAGAAAATCATATTGCTGAAGATAACTAGAAAAATAAAACAGCAACACTGATTTTATCGCATAACAAAACCACTCGACAAAATAACAGGCTGTGCCATGAATCTGCAACAAATAAAATTACAGCAGACGCCCTATAAGAAGAAGGAACACCCTAACAAATTTACGAGAACAGTTACCGCAGTTCCAACACTTGGCAAACGTCCGTAAAAACGGGAATCGGCAACCTATAGATACCACGTTACAACGAGCAACTGCACATCTGCGTGGAACCGGTGCTTGAATAATAAACACAGTATAACAAATTGATAATCCGGAACCCCATAATCGTGCGCATATTTCGGCTCGGGGAATCTGTGGACCGACACTAAAAGAACTTTCCACGCTCGTTGTTGCGCCAAATGGGCCGCTATAAAAGCGTGGGGGCGCCCATGGCAGCCCTCTTCCTTCCCGATTCCGTTTCACCCTCGTCGTCTCCGTTTCCGCCTCGTCTCGTGCCGCTTTCTGCTACCGTCGCGTGGATCAAAGTGTCCGGCATACGATTCTCGCCTCTTCGTGCTCAGTTTGTTCATTTTATTGTCCGTCGCTCGGTTCCGATCTTTCGAATGAACGTTGCTCGATAAAAATGTTTCGACAGGCCCTGTCGAAGATTGATGAATGGCGGAAAAGTGGCGGAAATCTGATCACAAGGGATGGCCGCTAGTGAGATGTAAATAATAGCAGCGTGCATACACTGTATGGCGCGCGAATGGTTTTTCGAGAAGAGTATTCGACCGTTGGCTGTGTAAATCGCTCGTTTCTTGCACATTTTTTGATATTTGTAATTGTTGAGATATGGGTAATTTTCTGTGCTGGACTGGTTTGAATGCGTAGTAGAGATACTTGTATGTGAATATCAGTGTGTGCAAGTGGAATGTAAACTGCTCAATCGGTTAAGAGTCGGTTAACCGTCGGTAATGGAAGAAAGTACTGAGACGCGTGCAAGTGTGTATCGATGAATATCTTTGAAATCGCTTATCAAATAAATACATAATTATTCTAATATGAATTCTAAGTGTAAATTTAGTGTTCCTATACCATTATTTCGGCTATTAAGATCCAAAACTCTCAACAAATATAAAACAAAAATTGTTGTTCATCTATCACCTTATGAAAGGAACGAAACTTTCCGGATAACCTAATACTATCGAAACAATGAATATGACATAATACAAGTAAAAATATCGTAAAATGCAAGACACAGAATGAAATTTATACCAATCTTCGTTTCAACGTTCTCTAAAAGTTGATATTACAAACAGAAGACATTGTACCGCTATTGAGATATGTACAATTGTATCTGCTAGACTAGGTTAGTTGCGTAGTGGTAATACTTGTATGTGAATATCAGTGTGTGGAAGTATATATGTGCGTCTCCAAAACAAATGAATGTAAACTGTTCAGTCGGTTAACAGTCGGATATGGAAGAAAGTACTGAGACGCGTGCAAGTGTGTATCGATGAATATCTTTGAAATCGCTTATCAAATAAATACATAATTATTCTAATATGAATTCTAAGTGTAAATTTAGTGTTCCTATACCATTAATTCGGCTATTAAGATCCAAAACTCTCAACAAATATAAAACAAAAATTGTTCTTCATCTATCACCTTATGAAAGGAACGAAACTTTTCGGATAACCTAATACTATCGAAACAATGAATATAACATAATACAAGTGAAAATATCGTAAAATGCAAGACACAGAATGAAATTTATACCAATCTTCGTTTCAACGTTCTCTAAAAGTTGATATTACAAACAGAAGACATTGTACCGCTATTGAGATATGTACAATTGTATCTGCTAGACTAGGTTAGTTGCGTAGTGGTAATACTTGTATGTGAATATCAGTGTGTGGAAGTATGCGTAGTAGTAATACTCGTATGTGAATTACTCGTATGTGAATATCAGTGTGTGGAAGTATATATGTGCATCTCGAAAACAAATGAATGTAAACTGTTCAGTCGGTTAACCGTCGGTAATGGAAGAAAGTGGTGAGACGCGTGCAAATGTGTATCGATGAATATACAAGGAATCGTCCATGAAATAAATATATCGTTACTTTAATATTAATCCTCGGTATAAATTTAGTGTTTCTATAACGTCATTTCGGTTTCAAAGACCCACAATTTTCAACAGCGATGAACGTGATTTGTAATTGTTGAAGTTGAAGTTTGTAGATCTTTGGAACACTGGTTTAAGCGAGAACCTGTCAGAACGATGTGACAATATTTGTGAAACGATGGCAATTTTAGGGGTTCGATGGAAAAGTGGAACATTTTTGTTGAAGGAACTTGATAAATACAGGAAATAGTAATATCTGTGTTTGCAAGATTTTATTACGAATTTCTAAGCCTCTTGACGTCACCAATGCTTTTCTATTAACAAGATTTTACTTCCAATGACTCGTGGACGACATTTTATTCTGCAAGGGTCGTTCTTCAATTTTTCATCCGAGTCTCAAATAAAAATTGGAGAATTATACCGTAGCAGTGTAGTTTCCTTGACATATATGCAAATTGCTTGCAAATTGAGACAAACCACGATCGCTGGCTTTAGTAACAAGTTGATAGAAATATTCTGAGGCAATGGGGACATCACAGCCATATTTTCGTTGGCAGAAAACGGCCACCCCGGTGAGTAACTCATCGAGTTTTTCCTCTGATTTTACTCTAGCGATTCGTAAATCGAGGATAGATGTTCCTTGAAGAAAAATTGTCACAACGAGGGGAACTTCACTTGTCTATATTTAAAAGAAATTTGTGTTTGTCTTTTTGTGTAAATTTTTAAAAGAAACAGAAACTTGAAAGGCTGCAATACGACAGATTCGAGGACATATTAAACGGTGCTTGATTTTCTATGCTTCTCTCTTAATTACACGCTGCTATTCACACTTTCGCTGAATTTCACCGATTAGATCAGGTTCCACGAGTGCTGTGAATTATGCTTTCGCGATGGTAACTTGCATACAATTTTCATTTATCTATTCGAAATCGTTGGATTGTAATGGAATACACAATGCCAGAATTTTGTCATATACGGAAGGGAATTTAATAGAAATCTGCATGCAATTAATAAACTGCGGATGTTTCTGCACTTATGGGACATTTAAAGTTGTAAAGACTGCATATAATATGCCAAAATATATACAATATGCAAAGTATAGTACTTGGAGGATGAATAAATAGCGAAGAAATTTAGCCAGGCCATCTCTTCTATTGATTTCTTCTGTTTATTAGCTTGGCAACTAAGTGATTGCGGATTTTGTCATTAGATGGTATTAAAAAATCCACAATCACTTAATTGCCAAGTTAATAAATATTCAAATAAGGTAATTGTACCTCTTGGTACTCCATTTGAAAATACTTTGTTAGGGGGCAATTAAAGTGTTGCATTTGAGTGAGAAAAGTTTGAGAAGTGTAAAAGGAAGAAGAATAAGGAAGGGGTGCACTTATGGGACATTTAAAGATGCAAAGACTGCATATAATATGCCAAAATATATACAATATGCAAAGTATAGTACTTGGAGGATGAATAAATAGCGAAGAAATTTAGCCAGGCCATCTCTTCTATTGATTTCTTCTGTTTATTAGCTTGGCAACTAAGTGATTGCGGATTTTGTCATTAGATGGTATTAAAAAATCCACAATCACTTAATTGCCAAGTTAATAAATATTCAAATAAGGTAATTGTACCTCTTGGTACTCCATTTGAAAATACTTTGTTAGGGGGCAATTAAAGTGTTGCATTTGAGTGAGAAAAGTTTGAGAAGTGTAAAAGGAAGAAGAATAAGGAAGGGGTGCACTTATGGGACATTTAAAGATGCAAAGACTGCATATAATATGCCAAAATATATACAATATGCAAAGTATAGTACTTGGAGGATGAATAAATAGCGAAGAAATTTAGCCAGGCCATCTCTTCTATTGATTTCTTCTGTTTATTAGCTTGGCAACTAAGTGATTGCGGATTTTGTCATTAGATGGTATTGAAAAATCCGCAATCACTTAATTGCCAAGTTAATAAATATTCAAATAAGGTAATTGTACCTCTTGGTACTCCATTTGACAATACTTTGTTAGAGGGCAATTAAAGTGTTGCATTTGAGTGAGACAAGTTTCAGAAGTGTAAAAGGAAGAAGAATAAGGAAGGGGTGCACTTATGGGACATTTAAAGATGCAAAGACTGCATATAATATGCCAAAATATATACAATGTGCAAAGTATAGTACTTGGAGGAAGAATAAATAGCGAAGAAATTTAGCCAGGCCATCTCTTCTATTGATTTCTTCTATTTATTAGCTTGGCAACTAAGTGATTGCGGATTTTGTCATTAGGTGGTATTGAAAAATCCGCAATCACTTAATTGCCAAGTTAATAAATATTCAAATAAGGTAATTGTACCTCTTGGTACTCCATTTGACAATACTTTGTTAGAGGGCAATTAAAGTGTTGCATTTGAGTGAGACAAGTTTCAGAAGTGTAAAAGGAAGAAGAATAAGGAAGGGGTGCACTTATGGGACATTTAAAGATGCAAAGACTGCATATAATATGCCAAAATATATACAATGTGCAAAGTATAGTACTTGGAGGAAGAATAAATAGCGAAGAAATTTAGCCAGGCCATCTCTTCTATTGATTTCTTCTATTTATTAACTTGGCAACTAAGTGATTGCGGATTTTGTCATTAGATGGTATTGAAAAATCCGCAATCACTTAATTGCCAAGTTAATAAATATTCAAATAAGGTAATTGCACCTCTTGGTACTCCATTTGACAATACTTTGTTAGGGGGCAATTAAAGTGTTGCATTCGAGTGAGACAAGTTTCAGAAGTGTAAAGGGATGAAGGATAGGTTTGATGTAGTTACTCATTGCTTGGTATTGTTCTATTGTTTGTTGTAAAGCAGGTAGAGAAATTGTAGGTGGAATTGTTTTAATTCAAGTGACTATTTGTATTGGGTTGGCAACTAAGAGTCGTTAATTAAAAAACAATTGATTATGCTACCTTTGTACAGTTAATTATATTACAGCCATTAAATTTTCACCATTGGGCTTAAAATTAATACCAATAAACCATGTTTTTGTTAAACAATTCAACATATTTAATTTGTCTAATTCCTTATTTATATTAAAACTTATTTATTTAACAAAAAGTATTACTAATCTAATCATTATATTCAATTAAAACAAATTACAAATTATTTTTTAAGTAAATAAATCTAATCATTATATTCAATTAAAACAAATTACAAATTATTTTTTTAAGTAAATAAATACATATATAAATTCATTAATAATTTCAATAAAAATTAAATCTTTAATATTTTATTCACCTAATATTTAATATTGTCATCACCTAATGACAAAATCCGCAGTCACTTATTTTCAACCCAATATATACACAAATTATACTATTTATATACATAACACGATTATGTACACAAATCACATCATTAGGTTGTCCGAAAAGTTTCTTTCGTTTCACAAGGCGATAATAAATGAACAGCAATTTCTCTTTTATATTATTTCGTACATAATTCGATAAACTAATATAAAACGAAAAGACATTGTGCGTCTATTGTTTCCTTATAAAACGAAAGAAACTTTTGGACAACCTAATATAAGCATGTGATAGCTACAAGAGAAATATTTCATTTATTTCATCTGAGTTACATAAAAGTAGAGGAAGGGGGGGAGTATAAGGCACGCGAGCGCATTTTTCGTGTTGGTTTTGAGCAACCTGCGGCTAATAAATCGCCGGACCGCCACTGTTTATAAACCGTTTAACCGTTGGCAGGTTTCGCCAAGTATCACGGAAAAGCTGCGGCGAAAAAGTGGGAGAAACGCGTGGAAAGTCAGCGAAGCAAAGGGAACGAGAACTATGATGGATGAGAGTGGAGGACGAGCCCAAAACTCGTCTCGGTCTCGTGCGACAATGGAAACAAATTATTAATTGTTTACTTAGCTACACTCTCGGTTCAATGTTAATTACCGCGAATCTGATAATTTTTCGATTAAGGTAGATTCTATAATATTGGGTTGTCCGAAAAGTTTCTTTCGTCTCATAAGGTGATAATAGATGAACAACAATTTCTATTTTATATTATTAGTATTATTATTTCTATTTTATATTATTAGTAGTATCGTGAACTATTATAATTAGTTTATTAACGATGAATGGATTAAATAGATGTTAATTAAACAGAAAACAATGGTTATTCAACATGAACTAATTGCAACAAACGTATAATAATTAAAACAGCTGGATCATTAATTAACAATTCTCGTCAACGGAAATTCAACTCTCTCTTAACAACGCTAACAACACTACAATTCGGCAACATAATCCGCACTCTCTAACTTCTCAACTCATACTGCCGTTAATTCGTTTATTGTCCCTAGCAATCGCTTGTCTTTCGTCTTAACCTCACTACGCACATGCTGAACAACCGCTTGTTTACAATCCGCACGACACCCCGCAGACCCATCGTCCACGATACTACATTATTTATTTTATATCATTATATGTTTATATATTCGTGCATAATTCAATAAACAAGTATAAAAGAAAAACATTGTGCGCCTATTGTTTGCTTATAAAACGAAAGAAACTTTTCGGACAACGTAATACCTTCTGCTTCGATGGTCCCTGCATCAGTGTGTTGACAGAGTTGCGTCGTTACACGTCGGCGAGAAAATGATCGTTGATGTAATAATTTCCCTTCGTCATTACATTTATTACACTATACACATTATATACATTTACAATTAGACGTTTCTAATTATATCTTCGTTTTATGATCTCACTTCTATATTTTTCTTTTAAATTATGCTTTTGTCACTACACTCTGTTCATATTGTTCCTATTGTCCTTGTGTTTCCACTATGTTCAGATTACTCTGTTCTTTTTCAAATATACACAGATCCTCTGTGTGTACCATTCTTCCATTTTGTCTCCCACAAAGAGAGACATCTTTGTCTTTTGAATTCGTTATTTCTTAATTTTTTAAGTAAAAACAGAGATTCAAAGCTATAAACATTGTCCTCTGATTTGCAAATTCCGCCACTTGGCGACAACAAAAGCGCAGCCCACAGACAAAACGATTGAACCTTACTTTAACTTATCACTGCTTGCCTATTTTTCCTTTCGTTACGACCGGTCGCGAGGAAAACGCGTGAGCGAGGGGCGTAAAATATCTACGATTCGGATAACCGACGCCGCGAATTAGTCGTTCCCCTGTTTCGATTAAGATAACAAATGAGTTTAACACTGAATTAACAGGGTTAATATAAACTTGCATATTTAACAATATTTAATATTATAATGGGCACGTCACAAATTATTTAATGATAAATACAATTAGTTTGATACCGGAATTCGACCCGACTTTATGATATTTCTCGATATATTCGTTAGACTAATCGACTTTAATTTTATTCGTCAGAACCTCTCGATACATTCCGTTTGAATTCTCAAATGATACTGATTGCCCTTCGATCTTTTCTTTGTCTTCTCTGAGAGACGACCCCCACTACGCTCGGGTCACGCCACCATTTGCGCCTATGATCACGTATGCCACCTTCTTTGTGTAGATGAAATAACGGCCCAAAGGCGAATCGACGTTTCTAGAATTCGCTGCTTGACGACAACTATGCGCTTGTCGCTACATTGTATATATTTCGCTGGTCATGTAAGACGATCCTTCTGCGACATTGTAGTAGTACCACGAGCGACGGTTAGGGACACGGCCTATGGTAAGCCCCGTGGCGTAACGTTTTTGCTGCTAAATGAAAATACATCTTCCAAATTATCGTGCAAAACAATCATCCTGCTGAAGTTCTAGTATTCTAACGTCCACTTTCTTCGTCGCAACAAAAACACACGCGATCTTCCTACAGTAAACGGTGGAATAACGACGATTAAACTAGCGGCTATCGATTTCGAAATCGTCCCCCGTCGATTCGACGAGGGAGATCGGAGAGAGCAGCGCGCGTGGATCGTGGTGTTCCACCCTCCGGTCGACCTCCCCGAGCGCGACTCGACGTAGCCGGTGCTACCGGGGGAAAATAATGCATCAGAAATTCAGATGACCGACGGAGAAGATCGTAGCGCGATTTATCAAATAAAAGTGCCGCTACAGTCGAATGCCCGTCTGCGTTGGTCGTTGGAAGCGACAGTTCATTTTTAATATAAAACGAGACTCGCGCGAACGAACGGGAATAGAAAAGAAGATTCCTCGGCGTGACGGCAAAAAGGCCGGGGCTGATATCGTTGCCGATGTTCGCCAAGCGACTTTCTCAAGGAAAAAACCGTGATTCTCAGCGGAGATTACGACTCCCGACGATTTCTCGAGCTCGCGGCTCGTTTGGTCGATACTGGACCATGAACGGTATTGTTTTTCTTTAACGACGATTATGGAAGATGTCCTCTGCACTTTTGGTGGTCTCGTGGTGGCAAGGCTCTGATGTTTCTTCGCTAATCACGCAGCAATCGAAGAAACAGTTTTTTCACCAGCTAACGTTCCGACGAATACGCCGGAGAGTAGCTGCAGCTGTTCACGAAACTATTCGAATATTTGAAAATATTCTTTTTGGTTATATCGTTGCGTGTCTTGTAGGAAACGTTAAAGAATTTGATTGGCGCTGTAATGAAACTCCACTGTTATGTTTGAAGTATACTATATATTTAATACTCAAAATAATCAGGGAGTGGCTTTCCACGTAACCTGGACTTTTATACTCGTTTCCTATGTTAATTTAATTTTACTTTTAATGCGTGTCTTTAAACAATCTATCAAGGTTATAGAGCATCCTGTCCTTCATTCGCGTAATTGATAGAATAGAACCATTGGTAATTGCAATTCTCTAATTGTATCCAGCAGTACATTAAAATGTAACAAACCTAATATACCTTATACAAGGTGAAATATTATTACTCGACGACGTACACAGTACACTTTCGAAAATCAACAAATCATTTTCTTGCAAAATACAAAACTATCTGAAACCCAAACAGCCAAATAGCATCATTCGCATATGATTGGAACTCTGCCAGTTATTCAAGCGTCAATCTCAACAGGAGAGTAGCAATACACGTGAAGCAAAGTTTGCTTGCAAAAGTGCAGCACATCTGAAAACACACTGAGAAGTAACCGTTAAGCGTCGCTGTTTATAAAGACAATGTTCCTGTTATATTCGAAGCTATAACAATCTTTAGTGCAATAGGTTGGTTAGAGATGCGCTTAAAGCGGGATAATCGAGAAACTAGCGTGTCCCCGAGGATCGTGCAAAACCTGTTGCCCGCGACGGGCCTCACAACGCGATAAAAAGTTGACTTCGCGGGAGCTTAGTCCGCGCGCTCTTCGACGCCAACAGTTTAGCTTCATAATGTAAAGTCGCCAGTCATTCGCCGATCAAAGTGTTAAGCCCCTTCCCTTCCTCTGACCGCCTTCGCTCGACAGCGCCGCTTTCAAAGGCCCTGCCTGCTCTGATGGCCGTTTGATTCGTCGTTGGTTCTGCGCGCAGGACGTTGACACGAGGAAACAACGAGCGAAAAAGGACGGAGGTCCACGAGCGATAGCGGCCATTCCTTTTGTCAAATCTGAATGGGCATGCAGAGGTTGCAGCGAGGCAGGAAGTCGAGCCAAAAGAGAGCAGAAGACAGTTTTTGTGGATGTAGAAAGCTGGCTTGCAAGATTGTTTCTCGGATAGGTTAGTTTTTTTATTTAAAGTTCGGGATATATTCAAATTGTGACTCAAACTGTGCTTCTCTCTGACGATGAAAATCATAGATTGATATGTCGAGAAATAAACTGATATTTTGGATGAGTGTGAGCGATTACTAGATTGAGGGTGCTTGCGCCATCTGTTAGGTTGGCAACTAAATGATTGCGGGTCTTGTCATTACCATCTAATGCAATGTAACAGAATTTATGTAATATACGAAGTATTTGTCGAAAATTTAGAGAATCAGACGAATGTCTGTTCAAGTCCTATTTCTGTATAGTTGCATTTAAGAAAATAGAAATTCCATCGGCTTTGCTTTTGTAGGACAAAAATTTCTCTCTAAATCCCATTTTTTTAACTGCATTCATAAAAATATAGAAATCGCGCGAATATTCGCCATCTATGTAAGTACGTGACCACGTAACATCTGTCACTTTTTTTTAATCTAAAAAACGGTGAAGTTTTCTAAAGAATATCAGAGAAAAGAAACTACCAAAAAATTACAAAATACAAAGAACGGTATAAAGGGGAGTCATTAAATGAGAAAGTACCGTATGTATAACTATTTCGGACCTCTTCAGACAGTTCAAGATAAATACAAATGACAAGAGGCTGATAAAAGCCCGAGACAATTTGTGATTCCTCTGAAAGCAAACGAACAATAGGAAGAATCGAGCGTGGCGTGGAATAGGTGGCTTTAAAACCAACTTAGCAGCGATCGTCGGCAACGTTACAAGCGGCTACTATTATAAGCACTTTACTTTTAAGGAACATTAGCCGCGCTCCCTTCTTACGCGTCTTTTCTTTCGCGGAAACTGCGCCACGCTGCGAACGCCGCCGCCTCCAGGGAGAAACGGAGACGCGCACCATGGCCATGGGGGTGGGTGACAGCGGCAGGAGAGGGGATTGTCTGAGGTAATTAGCCGATGGTTGCGTTGAAAGATCTCCCAGCGGCTGACTCGGCTTGTCGTGACGGGTCATGTCCAGAATACCAAGCCATTCTGTTTAGAAAATGTCAGGCCACCGATAAAAAGTCATGCAACATGAAACATCCAAAGAGAGTATAAAAAAGGGGAGCGAGAGAGTTTCGTAATTTAATTATCGAAGCGTGATCACCTTGAAGGCCCCTGCGTTTGATATGATGGCGTTTTGAAAGAGGATTCCCGAAGGGTAAAGTTGCTTGAGAGTAGGATAAGAGACGATGATATAAAATGTAGAGGAAGGTTACTTTTTCCTTGGAAGATGTGTCATTTGACATTGTGTGTTTTTTTTTCTTTTAAATAGAAAATGTGGTGAAAAAGTGTTAAAGTCATCGAATTTTTGATTTGTTATTATGAATCAATTTATGTAAAGGAAAGTCGTATGATATACAGATCAGGATATTGATAAATGATATTGTTTATGTTGTTTGGAATATCCTGATAGAGCTTTCTGTTGTTTGAAATATCTGAGGACTGAGAAAATTATAATTCGTTTGTATTGGTAGTTCAACCACGTAAAAGCTCGGATTTGTAATTATAAATTAATTTATGTAAAGTCGTATTATATACAGTTCAGGATATTGATAAAAGTTTATATTTTTTGAAATATCCGATGACTGAGAAGATTATAATTTGTTTGGATTGGTAGTGCAACCACGTAAAAGCTCGGATTTGTAATTATAAATTAATTTATGTAAAATCGTATTATATACAATTCAGGATATTGATAGAGCTTTCTGTTGTTTGAAATATCTGAGGACTGAGAAAATTATAATTCGTTTGTATTGGTAGTTCAACCACGTAAAAGCTCGGATTTGTAATTATAAATTAATTTATGTAAAGTCGTATTATATACAGATCAGGATATTGATAAAAGTTTATGTTGTTTGGAATTCCGATGACTGAAAAAATTACAATTTCGTTTATATTGATAGTACAACCACGTATAAGCTCGGATTTGTAATTATAAATTAATTTATGTAAAG